CAGCTCTGTCCAGAATGTATAGGGTAGGAAATCATGCCTTGCCCCTTACGACGGCCTGAATCGCAGTAAAATCTGGCGTTTTGTTTCATCATCCAAACAACCAACCAAGAGTGCTCCGCAGGAGCTGAAAATGGGATGGAAGGTTCACAGCACTACTTAGAGTCACCACACAAAGAATCAGCTCTGTCCAGAATGTATAGGGTAGGAAATCATGCCTTGCCCCTTACGACGGCCTGAATCGCCGTAAAATCTGGCGTTTTATGTCATCTTCCAAATATCCAACCTAGAGTGCTCCGCTGGAGCTGAAAATGGGGTGGAATGTTCACAGAACTACTTATAGTCACCACACAAAGAATCAGCTCTGTCCAGAATGTATAGGGTAGGAAATCATGCCTTGCCCCTTACGACGGCCTGAATCGCCCTAAAATCTGGCGTTTTATGTCATCTTCCAAACTACCAACCTAGAGTGTTCCGCAGGAGCTGAAAATGGGATGGAAGGTTCACAGCACTAATTAGAGTCACCACACAAAGAATCAGCTCTGTCCAGAATGTATAGGGTAGGAAATCATGCCTTGCCCCTTACGACGGCCTGAATCGCCCTAAAATCTGGCGTTTTATGTCATCTTCCAAACTACCAACCTAGAGTGCTCCGCAGGAGCTGAAAATGGGATGGAAGGTTCACAGCACTACTTAGAGTCACCACACAAAGAATCAGCTCTGTCCAGAATGTATAGGGTAGGAAATCATGCCTTGCCCCAATACGACGGCCTGAATCGTAGTAGAATCTGGCTTTTTATGTCATCTTCCAAACGGCCAACCTAGAGTACTCCGCAGGAGTTGAAAATGAGAAGGAAGGTTCACAGCACTACTTAGAGTCACCACACAAAGAATCAGCTCTGTCCAGAATGTATACGGTAGGAAATAATGCCTTGCCCCTTACGACGGCCTGAATCGAAGTAAAATCCGGCGTTTTATTACATCATCCAAACAACCAACCTAGAGTGCTTCGCAGGAGCTGAAAATGGGATGGAAGGTTCACAGCACTACTTAGAGTCACCACACAAATAATCAGCTCTGTCCAGAATATATAGGGTAGGAAATCATGCCTTGCCCCATACGACGGCCTGAATCGCAGTAGAATCTGGCGTTTTATGTCATCTTCCAAACGACCAACCTAGAGTGCTCTGCAGGAGCTGAAAATGGGATGAAACGTTCACAGCACTACTTAGAGTCACCACACAAAGAATCAGCTCTGTCCAGAATGTATAGGGTAGGAAATCATGCCTTGCCCCATACGACGGCCTGAATCGCAGTAGAATCTGGCGTTTTATATCATCTTCCAAACGACCAACCTAGAGTGCTCTGCAGGAGCTAAAAATGGGATGAAACGTTCACAGCACTACTTAGAGTCACCACACAAATAATCAGCTCTGTCCAGAATGTATAGGGTAGGAAATCATGCCTTGCCCCTTACGACGGCCTGAATCGCAGTAAAATCTGGCGTTTTATGTCATCTTCCAAACAACCAACCTAGAGTGCTCCGCAGGAGCTGAAAATGGGATGGAAGGTTCACAGCACTACTTAGAGTCAGCACACTAAGAATCAGCTCTGTCCAGAATGTATAGGGTAGGAAATCATGCCTTGCCCCTTACGACGGCCTGAATCGCCGTAAAATCTGGCGTTTTATGTCATCTTCCAAATAACCAACCTAGAGTGCTCCGCTGGAGCTGAAAATGGGGTGGAATGTTCACAGAACTACTTATAGTCACCACACAAAGAATCAGCTCTGTCCAGAATGTATAGGGTAGGAAATCATGCCTTGCCCCTTACGACGGCCTGAATCGCCCTAAAATCTGGCGTTTTATGTCATCTTCCAAACTACCAACCTAGAGTGTTCCGCAGGAGCTGAAAATAATATGGAAGGTTCACAGCACTAATTCGAGTCACCACACAAAGAATCAGCTCTGTCCAGAATGTATAGGGTAGGAAATCATGCCTTGCCCCATACGACGGCCTGAATCGCAGTAGAATCTGGCGTTTTATATCATCTTCCAAACGACCAACCTAGAGTGCTCTGCAGGAGCTGAAAATGGGATGAAACGTTCACAGCACTACTTCGAGTCACCACACAAATAATCAGCTCTGTCCAGAATGTATAGGGTAGGAAATCATGCCTTGCCCCTTACGACGGCCTGAATCGCAGTAAAATCTGGCGTTTTATGTCATCTTCCAAATAACCAACCTAGAGTGCTCTGCAGGAGCTGAAAATGGGGTGGAATGTTCACAGAACTACTTAGAGTCACCACACAAAGAATCAGCTCTGTACAGAATGTATTGGGTAGGAAATCATGCCTTGCCCCTTACGATGGCCTGTATCGCAGTAAAATCATTCGTTTCATGTCATCTTCCAATCTACCAACCTAGAGTGCTTTCAGTTGCGGAAAATGGGATGGAAGGTTCACTGCACTACTTAGAGTCACCACACAAAGAATCAGCTCTGTCCAGAATGTTTAGGGTAGGAAATCAAGCCTTGCCCCATACGACGGCCTGAATCGCAGTAAAATCTTGCGTTTTATGTCATCTTCCAAACAACCAACCTAGAGTGCTCCGCAGGAGCTGAAATTGGGATGGAAGGTTCACCGCACTACTTAGAGTCACCACACTAAGAATCAGCTCTGTCCAGAATGTATAGGGTAGGAAATCATGCCTTGCCCCTTACGACGACCTGAATCGCCGTAAAATCTGGCGTTTTATGTCATCTTCCAAACAACCAACCTAGAGTGCTCCGCAGGAGCTGAAAATGGGATGGAAGGTTCATAGCACTACTTAGAGTCACCACACAAGGAATCAGCTCTGTCCAGAATGTATAGGGTAGGAAATCATGCCTTGCCCCATACGACGGCCTGAATCGCAGTAATATCTGGCGTTTTATGTCATCTTCCAAACAACCAACCTAGAGTGCTCCGCAGGAGCTGAAAATGGGATGGAAGGTTCACAGCACTACTTAGAGTCAGCACACTAAGAATCAGCTCTGTCCAGAATGTATAGGGTAGGAAATCATGCCCAATTTGTCAGTCTGGTATCGATTCAATATCACTTGTCAAAATGTACCCTACAATCCAAAAATTTGTGTCAGGGCCGTCGCGATGCAGACCGTGACGAAGGAACCTTCAACATATCCATCCTTTTGTTACATCTAAAACTATGCCATTTTATGACTGGTCTATTACTTGGCCACTTGACAGTGTACTGTCTCTGTAGAATGAGCCCATAATGTATCATTTTTATCAAACCCACTTGGAAGGATTATGGTATGAACTATGCTGCTTGTCAGAGCATACTCGTCTTTAATTGGTGCTTCGTTTTTACCTCCACGGGTTCTCAGTCTCTTGTTGCCAACTGGTTTTGTTTGGTGTTATTTAAAATGACAAGACGGCCATATGACCACTTGTAAGTTCCGAAATTTCAATGGGGTAGTTTCCGGTTTAATTCACTTTTCTGAAACCTGTAGCTAGCGTAGATGTTGTGTTCCAGCGATAATTTAAATGAGCACCGCGAGTGCTGTGGCAGCCTCAACCACTCTCAGGAATACTTTACTTGGGGCATGCGAAGTCATCATCACGTGATGGGCAGCGAAACATGTGTAAAACGCCATGGCAGCTTTCGACAGAAACGTGACAAGGACAACTGCAACGCATTTGGAGTTTTGTAAAGTTGGCGAAACTTCCCACGTGGCCACTTGGCAGTCGTTTCCACCAAATGTTGCTTGTAAAAATTTGCCCAGTCAAACGCGGATGCTGCACGTATAGCGCTAAGTTTCGGTGGGGACGGGAAGCAGCTATTTGTTCATCCAACCCGACAACATCCGTCTAAGCTCGATATTTTGGAGGTACTATGGGCTGCGCGAATAAATGTGCCAAGCTTGGTGCAACTGTACTGTACGGTGAACCTTCTTCACCACACACAGTCTATCCTTTTTTTTTCGAGGCTCTTTTTTTTTCGGACGACATGCCAGTACTCGAAACAGCCGAAACACGCCATCACTCGAAACTGCGTGAAACACTCGACTTACCTAAAATAGGGCGTAACTAGGAGCCTCACACTCGACCGTTGTGACTCACCTAATACTACAATCTTGGCGAGACTGACTGCCAAACGCTCCTCCGTAACAAATTAATATTATGTTGCAAAATATTCAACAGGTAGCGAAAACAGCAAAACTAAACAGTGTGGAACTGCCACACTGTGGCAGTAAACCGCAATGCTGTCAGGTGGGTAAGGTCGCACTTGTCGTCTTGTACAAAACCAACGTGAGCGCGTGAACCTCCTTGCACAGCCCTCGGTAACGCTTGGCAGAGTCTCAGCGAGCATCGTCTCACACGATGCTGTGGTCTCAAGCTACCGCTCGTGACAGCAGTCACGACGCAGAAACATCAACTCCTTCCCGATGGCTTAGGTCCAGCCAGCTTTCCCCCCTCTTTCTCCAGCGAATAACTCATGCTCCCCTCAGTCCGCAACACGGCGCGGATTTTCAGTGCCTAACATCCGCGACGTCGCGCTCTCATTTTCTTACCGTCGGTCCGCATTAGACGGCCTCGGATTGTCGCACGTATCGATGAGCATCTCACTGTCTTACCCTCAGCCGTGACAGTACCGTGAGAGCTCCATAATCTCACTCACCACCGCCTCCATTCATGGCAACTCGCGGCACCGCTCACGCCATCCACCACCCCATCGTTATAAGCGTGCCGCGTCGACCTATCACGAAACTAGCCGTTCCCTAATCGTGCTACTTGGCGACCCGTATCCTGACCGCAACCGTATCGCGCAAAGGTATGTTGCTTCGTCGAGTTCCTCGGTCGTTTCAGCGATTCATATCCTGTTATAAATATGGATCCAGTACAAACGTAGTAAGTACCGATCCCCTGTTCAGCAACACTTAGTCACAGCAGTTCCGGATTTCTAACGTCCTATCATCTTTCCCGGGGCTGTGGCGCAACATGTCGACTAAACTGCAGGTCTCGAAGGCGGTGACCAAGAAAAACACTGCCAAGGGTGGCCCCGTGCAAAGTCCAGGCAACGTGCAGAATGGTACGAAGAAGAAGTGCACTAAGGCTGCACCCAAACCCCGGTCATCTAGTGGTGACGGCCCTCCTGGTGGCGAGGTTCGCAAGTCCAGCCGCCCTCGAAAGGCGAAAGTGTGGTTTGCGGAAGGGGCGGATGCTACCGAAGAAGGTGCTAATCCTGTTAAGTCTGCCAGGAACAACCTTGATGGCGACGATGTGGACAACCAAAAACACGAGGACGAAGCAGAGGCCAACGGCAAGTCGGGTGCCATGGGCGAAAACGAGGTGGACGAGGCAGTAGACGAGGCCGGCGGCGAGCCGAAAGAGGAAGAGGAAGACTTGGCGGAGGATGATGCTGAAGAGAAGGCAGAGGAAGAGGAGGGTGACGAGGCAGAGGAAGAGGAGGGTGACGAGGCGGAGGAAGAGGAGGGTGACAAGGCGGAGGAAGAGGAGGGTGATGAGTCCGAAAACGAGTCGGAAGACGAGTCCGGAGGCGAGCCGTCCGACGAAGAGGACGAGGAGTCTGAGGAAGGGCAGGGGGATGAGGACGAGGCTGAGAAGGGAAGTGAGAAAGGCGATGCGGCGGAAGTGGTGGAAGGCGCGGATGCGCACAAGCCTCAGATCACGAGGAAGGATAGCTTTGACGAGATGTTGGAAGAGCAGGGTGATTGTAATGAAGAAGCCATGGAGGAAGAGGCTGTGGCTGAGGAACGTGCTTTGCTGCTTGGGAAGCTGAAGGCACTCGATGAGATCAAGGAACCCGTTGTCAACTCGAAGCTCGCTAGAAAGGGTGTGAAACCTCTTCCGCGTTCAGAACCCTCTAAGATTCCTGCTAAGCCACCGCGAGGGAAAGATGCAGTCACAGCGGCTAAGGGAAAGGAGAAAGTGCTGGCGAAAGAGAGTATGCTCGGTGGGAAGTCGAAACGGGAGTCCGCCTTGGTGGTTCGCGGTGCTCAAAAATAGCAGAACATCGGTGAAGTTTCGGCCAAACCGAAGTCAACTCCTACGGCAGCAGGCGCTGAGGCAAGCGGGGTAAAGGCCAAGGCAGGCGCTGGGGCAAGCGGGGTAAAGGCCAAGGCAGGCGGTGGGGCTAAACCGACCACTAAGCAGGCCAACACAAAGACCAAAGGTCAGACTTTTTCCTCATTGTATACTACTGCGGGATGGTACCACTTTTTATTTGTTGCATGCTTGCTGATGTCACGTCGCCTTCATCCCTTCCCTGCCGTCGCTTTCCTCCCTTCCCTGCCGTCGCTTTCCTCCCTTTCCCTGCCGTCACCTTCCTCCCTTCCCTGCCGTAAATATACTCTCATCCTTCAGACGCCTTCCTCCCATCCCTGCCGTCACCTTCATCCCATCCCATCCCTGCCGTCACCTTCATCCCATCCCTGCCGTCACCTCCGACCCGTCCCTCAGTCACCTTTCCTCCATCTCTTCCGTCCCCTATACAATCAGCAGCTCCCAAGGACTCTAGAGCTGCACCACTGGTGAAGGTGATCACTGAAGCAACCAAGCGCTATGAGCTCGTCCCCGTCAAGAAAACCCCGTTTGTGGCGGCATCCTGCGATCGCCGCCAGGAGCATGGTGGTGAATCAAACGTGGAGCTTGACCAATTCGAGTGACGCATGATGGCAAGGTTCGCCGAGATGCTGTCGGCCATACTTCGGGGTGCTGGTCCATCCGTCCCAATCGGAGCGCCTGCAGCAAATCCTCCTCATTCTGGCCCGAGCACCAGCTCGTCGGAAGGCCTTCCCTCCATCAATAGTCCCCTGGCAAACCACCGCGAAATCGTCTACAAAGCGGTAGTCGACTTCAAGGTGCGTTCCCTATGATACACTGTGTGTGCGTTTCCTAGATTCTTGCTCGACCTGTCTACCCACTCTCCCCTCAATCATAAGCCTCATTTGCTTCCCCATCTTGAAACTAGGTAGTTGAAGCTTTTCCTAAACACTGACACATTCTGTGCCATCCAGGCACCTCCTAACCACAACCTTAAACCCCACTTGCTTCCCCATCCAGGCCTAGGGAGGTGAGGCTTTACCTAAACCCCGACTCCCCTCTGCTTGCCTGCCCACACTCCCCTCAACCCTAAACCCCACTTGCTTCCCCATCCAGGCCTAGGGAGGTGAGGCTTTACCTAAACCCCAACTCCCCTCTGCTTTCCTGCCCACTCTCCCCTCAACCCTAAACCCCACGTGCTTCCCCATCCAGGCATAGGGAGGTGAGGCTTTACCTAAACCCCAACTCCCCTCTGCTTGCCTGCCCACTCTCCTCTCAACCCGAAACCCCACTTGCTTCCCCGTCCAGGTCTAGGGAGGTGAGGCTTTACCTAAACCTCAACTCCCCTCTGCTTGCCTGCCCACTCTCCCCTCAACCCTAAACCCCACTTGCAAACCCTTATCGCTTGCCTTCCATATCTGCCACCTCCCCTATCCCCCTCCAATCTGCAGGAACTGTCTAGGCGTGTAGCAACACATCTTTGCTTCAACATTGAAGCTTCAATGATTCAGTTCTACCCATCTGCGGAGGAGGCCTTAGATCATGGGTTTAGCGAGTTTGTGTCGCCACAGGTTCTGGCCTCGTTGCGTGTGCTCTTTCAGCACAACGATGCCAGCACCAGAGGGGTCTTTTTCGAGCAGTTGTCTTCAACTAGGACTTCTATCAACGGCTGGATGAGAAAGGTGGCGCTCACGGCGTTGGGTCGGCAGGCGAACAGGTGCTACTTGGGGAGGTTACCAGCAGATCTACTTGCACCACTTGAGTTCTACACGGATGAGGAGCTCATTGCGCGTTACAAGGATGGTGAGTTTTGTATGAAGCTTTTGATCCCGCAGTTGTTGTTACGTGTGTTGCAATAATTTCTATAAGCACTACTTTGTTCCACGTTGCCCCTTTCGGTTGACCTCTAGTAACCATAATGTCAGCACCTTTCATCCCTTTGTTTCCTATGACCACGCAATCCCATTTTAGGGGAGAGGGGGCTGGCATGGCATCGGGAGCTCCTCATCCCTTTCGGAAGCCTCATCTTCTCGGTGTCCATTAAGTTGGCTCTGGCGCGTCGTGGGGTCAATACCGAGAAGATTAAGACCCGCCAGCTGGGTTGGATCCTATATGCGGTGAGTTTATGGACATGTTGTTATGTTTGTTGCCACGTATGCGATGAGCGATTTAGTGTTTTCATGTGTTAACCCTTTTCTGTTCATTTATTCCACTACATTCCCACCTCATACCCACCACATTCCTATGGTTTGAGTGGCCAATCCTCAACAATGCGCCTGATAGGAAGTTGATGCGGAGATAACTGCTGCAACGGGAGCTAGGCTACGGGCGGGGTGCTCGTGTGATCTCTGCGTTCCTTAGTCGTTTGCTTGTGTGTTCTCTACTTGCACATTCACGGGGAGATTTTGCAAGAGTTTCACTAGCAAAGATTGACAACAATGGTTAGCAACAACATTGGCAACACAGACTACATCAGAGCTAGCTAGGCTGCTGGTCGACCTCCAGCGCAGCACGGTCGACCGCGCCCAGCGCAGCAGCGCTCGCACCGCTCCAGCGTTGCAGAGTAGCGGTGCGCCAACGTTGCAAGTCCACGATCTGCCAGAGCTGCAGCAAGTCGGCTGCACAGCGTTGCACCCGCAGGACAACGGTGCACCTGCTTCGCAGGTGCGCGCAGCTGGTTGGCGCTCCACACGTTGTCACGAGCACAGCGCAGACGCCTGGCAGACTCCACGCCAGCGACTGCGCCCACCAGCCACGTCGACCTCGGGATACCACCCCCGAGGTCGGCCTCGCAGACTCCATCCCGGCGACACTCGTGCACGTCGCCCGGGTATCCCGGTCGACCGGGCAACCACGCCTGGCCGACCAGCGCAGCCCGTAGCCGGCCACGCATGCCCAGCGTCCCCAGTCCGGCGTCCAGGCGCCAGGACACCGTCCGCACCCCCAGGTCGGCGTCCAGACGCCCAGGACGCCGTGCAGATCTCCAGGGCGGCGTCCAGCCTCCCTGGACGCCGACCAGACACCCAGCTCGGCGTCCGGGCCCCCAGGACGCCGTGCAGACGCCCAAGATGGCGTCCCAGGCTCCTAGGACGCCGTGCAGACGCCTAGGTCGGCGTCCGGCCTTCCAGGACGCCAACCAGGCGTCCAGGACGACGTCCTCCTGCCCGGCGCCCTCCAGCCAGGCGCCCTCCAGCTCGGAGCCCTCCAGCTCGGCGCCCTTGCAGTGGCCCCCGTGCCCACTACTGCAGGTCGGCTGCAACCCCCGCACATCCGACCACGAAGTCGGCTCCGTCCAAGCGAGGACGGGGCCAAACAACACTCCCGCTGACAGTTGAGCGGCAAGTGGGAGTACAATCGGATCCAGTACGAGGAGATGTGCACCCGTGTGAAGCGGGATCGACCATGGTGTCCCATACGCCAGCAACACGAACGCATTCAACTTCCCCAACGGCGTCTACATCGACGCGTCCGACATGGAGACCCTTGTCAGCAGGGTGCAGGTAAGTCATCCCTAGGACCACTTTGCTTATATCGCACCAAGACCTTGCTGTGGCACCAGCATTGCTGAATTCCTCCCATCTCATCCGTCCCCTTCCTCCCATCTCATCCGTCCTCTTCCTCCCATCTCATCCGTCCCCTTCCTCCCATCTCATCCGTCCCCTTCCTCCCATCTCATCCGTCCCCTTCCTCCCATCTCATCCGTCGCCTTCCTCCCATCTCTTTCGTCCCCTTCGTCCCATCTCTTCCGTCCCCTTCCTCCCGTCTCTTCCGTCCCCTTCCGTCCGTCTCCTATGCCTCTTTGCGCAAGCTGCACGACCTGCACCAGCCCGGGTTGTCACCCCCAACCCGTAATCACATATATCTGCAGCAGCACTAGGGGGATCGGTGCGGAGGGGCTTCGCAGTGGCAGTAGCAATCTGCAACAGCAGTAGGGGGACAAGTGCAGAGGGGCATATCAATGGATGTAGCAATCTGCAGTAGCAGGAGGTCAGGAAAACGAGGAGCATAGCATTGGATGCAGCAATCTGCAACAGCAGCAGGGGGACAAGTGTGGAGGGGCACATCAGTGGTAGTAGCAATCTGCAGGAACAGCAGGATGACAGGAAAACGAGGGACATAGCAGAGGCAGTAGCAATCTGCAGGAGCAGCAGGGGAACAGGTGCGGAGGGGCGTAGCAGTGGCAGTAGGAACCTGCAGGAACAGCAAGGGAATATGTGCGGAGGGGCGTAGCAGTGGCAGTAGCAACCTGCAGGAGCAGCAGGGGAACAGGTGCGGAGGGGCGTAGCAGTGGCAGTAGCAACCTGCAGGAGCAGCAGGGGAACAGGTGTGGAGGGGCGTAGCAGTGGCAATAGCAACATGTAGGAGCAGCAGGGGAACAGGTGCGGAGGGGCGGAGCAGTGGCAGTAACAACTAGTAGCCGCAGCAGGGGGACAGGTGTGGAGCAGCAGGGGGGCAGGTGTGGAGCAGCAGGGGCAGCAGGGGGACATGTGCGGAGCAGCAGGGGCAGCAAGGGGCTTCTCAGGTGCGGAGCAGCATGGGCAGCAGGGGGACAGGTGCAGAGCAGCAGGGGCAGCAGGGAGACAGGTGCGGAGCAGCAGGGGCAGCAGGGGGACAGGTGCGGAGCAGCAGGGGCAGCAGGGGGACAGGTGCGGAGCAGCAGGGGCAGCAGGGGGACAGGTGCGGAGCAGCAGGGGCGGCAGGGGGACAGGTGCGGAGCAGCAGGGGCAGCAGGGGGACAGGTGCGGAGCAGCATAGCATTGGCAGTAGCAACCAGTAGCAGCACCAAGGGCATGTGCATGGCACTAGCAACCAGCAGTAGCCTCAGTAGAATGATATAGTAACCCTTAAGCATTGTAGTGTAGGAGCAGTAGCGTTGCACTGTACACTATGCTGTAATTAGTTGGCGGTATACTATGCTGTAAATTGTTTTTGCAATTAAAAAATGATTTCAATTTGAAATTTCATACAAATGGCAGTTTCGTATAGGGCTAACCCAGGACAGAGGAGACTCTAAATTTGGACTATACTTGGTCCAACTTTGTATAAAGCTGAGTGTTGGCTTGGAAGAAAAATGGTCCACAAATTCACCTAAAGTTTGGCCAAACATAGTCCAAAGTTCATCTTAGCAACTTTACCAATATTGGTCCAAACAATGAGACCAATAATGGTCCAATTATTGACCAATCTAATAGGGGGGATTTTGTGATGTCCCATCACCCACCTCGGCGCCTTCGCGCTCGCCCCGAAATGCCTGCCCGTCGCCCCTCAATTCTCCCCTCCCAACACCCTACCATTCCGCAATTTTCGCTCACTCTTCTCTCTTCGTGCGTTCTCGTTTCCGTCTCCCTATCCCTTTTTAATCTATAACTTGAAACTCTCCGTTTTTACCCGCATTCTAGTTCTCCTATGCTGTTTTTTCCGCTCCAGCAGGTCGATGTCCAAGGCATTGTTGTGCGTGAATTTCACACGCAACACTTGTTGAAATTGGCACACCGTGTGATTGGGATTTGCACGTCGCAAACTTGCGACGGATTTGCACATGCTTGCGACGAATTTTGTAGTTTTTTTTGTGAAATCGAACGCGTGTAAAAAACGAAACAGAACAACACTTTGAATTTCATAAGCATTACAAATTTAGTACCGTTTCTCCCGGATAAAATACCCTAGGGTATTATGAAAACCACTGGGAAAAAATGGGGGGGGTCTCCTCAAAGGAAAATCCTACATAATACCCGGGTCTTATTATATGGTATATTTTTTTATCAAGCAGAAAAGATGTGAAACAAAATCAGGGGTCTGACTTCACTTCAAGATTGTTGACCAGTGCCGCAAAACCAAGTATACGAGGATAGCGTGACCGCCCACTGGAATCTGCCACGTGGCAAATTCGAGTGAGCAATTCTGGGACTTGATAGGGTGAAAACAAAGCCAATTGCGTGGCAAGGGTTCATGCAACCGCCGAGGCCAGAATCGCGCACGGTGGTGTGTTCTTACTGTACCAGTCACTTTTTGACTGGTTTGGTCACGTGTCTGTGCCTTATGTGAGAAGGTGATTTTCACCTTTTGGGCCACTTGCAGCAGAAGATTCGCCAGCGTGGCGACAGCGAGATTGTGGGAGGGGGGAAATCTCGGCAGATTCTAAGTGAAAGTACACGCGAAATTTCACCTAGGGAGCAATTCTCGCGATATCCTCCCGTAAGGAATCGGACTCGATAACAGCTATAATAGGAATCTATAAGAAAAGGGGGGTGTTATAGAAAATCACCCCAAAAGTGGGGGTATAGTACAAACGGGGTCGGATATAACACCCACCCCGATTTTGCTACCCGGGGGTGTACAATTACGGGGGGGTGTTTTATCCGGGAGAATACGGTATGAGATTTCAAGTGGACCCACTAGAAGGGGGGGGGGGGGGGGGGGGGGTCACTATTTTAGCTGCTGGCTTTAAGCTCGTGTAGAGCATGCGGCTGCTCGAGAGCCACTCGAAGGTCAACAGTTATAGTTAGTCAACGGTCGTAACTGTTGACCGCCCAGTAACCATACTTGGAGGTTACACGATGCAACCTGGTAACTGTCATGTCGAGTAGAGCAATAATCGCGGTTACTGTAGCAATGCAAACAGTTAAGAAGGGAATGTACCCCACTGGGTACATGGCTAGCTAGATTGCTATTTATATCCTTGTACTCTATCTTAAATTTTATCTTGTTCTCTTTTCAACTATTATTGACAAGGCTATTAGAAGACTTTATTGTCTTCGTACAATTTAGAAAGTCTTATCCTATCTACTGCGATTCCCGGTTACATCAACGGCTACTTGGCTAAGAAATTGCTCCAAAGACCAAGTTTTATGAGTGCGTGAGTTTCACAACAGACGAGCTGAAATGCGTCAAAGGTTAGAACTAGAGTATTGTTCTATGGAAGTCTAATACGGGCAAAAATACGGTAGGCCCGAGTCAAGCTAGGTGATGATTTTGGGGTAAACGGGGCTTGGAAATTTGACGAGTGGTGCGGTGTCGCCTCGGAAGTTGTTCAGGGAGAAATCTTAGACCGAACCCAACTGACGCGAGAACCTCTGAGTATCCCCGCTAAGTATACAATAAGGGATTGTAATTCCGTATCATAACGCACTTAACCATAACGCACCGCTCTAAGCAGCGCGACCACGTGAGTCGGCCTGGCACACAGAATGCTTGTGCTATCACGGTTTTGACTCGCGTCATAAGTACTCGTGGTGTAAGGAATTCGCCAATTCCTTACTGTAGCCTTGCCTTAAACGGGTACAGCTCGAGCACTTCGCGTCAGGTGGCTCGGCCTACATTTCCGCACCGAACCAATGCTGAGTTGCCCCGCACCAATCGCAACACATCCAACCCATCCACGTCCCGAGTTCCTCGCCTAGCACGGTTTCGACCCTATAAATGCGTGCTCCTTTATCATTCTTGAGCATTCTGTAATTCATTCTCTTTATAGAAGTCTTCCGCGCACTCTGTCTAGTAAAACTCATAACACTTGGTATCAGAGCTACTTTCCTAGCTTCCCCATTTTTTAGAGTGTATTACCCCCCGGGGGGGGGGGAGGGGACAGGGAAGGATGCTGTGGTGACAGGAGCAGCGCAAGAGCCGGCCGGGAGAACGGGTAGTTGCTCCTAACGGCCATGAATTTCAAGGCGCTCCTGCGGCACCGACGGATCCTTGCCCTCGACGGTCGAGATGGACCGTGGCCTCCCTCCCCCTGGATGGCGGACAGCTTTTGCTGTCGTCGAAGTTAATGCGTGAGTTAACAGTAGTCGTTTTCGGCAATTTCGGAGTTAATGTTGTGTAGCGGCTGACGTCGGCAGGCTCGTCGTCGGCGCACGTCCGAAGTTATCGGAAGCAAGATCGTCGTGCGAGTTGCGTCGGCACGTGGTCGACAGCTGCGCACGACAATTACGGAGCTAGCTGCGTGGGGCAAGTGGCGATGGGCGTCTTCGTAACGTTGCGCACGAGCTGGTGGAAGTCTTCAGCAAGTGACGCGTCGTCACTGTGCGCGAAGATTTCGGGTAGCAGCACGTGGAAAACGACTGCTGGTCGAGCAGCCAGGCGCAATGTGTGATTTGCGTCAGAAAAACCGACGGCGAGGAGAGGCGGCATGGCGACTGCCCGAAGAAAGCGGGGGTCTACCGTCGTCCCGCCCGGGTGCGGCAGGTGTTGCTGCAGGAGGGTGTGTCGTGGGCGTTTTTCGGCAGAGCGGCAAAGTGTGAGACGGAAGTTGTTCTTCAAACCACCGAAAAGTTCGGAAAAGGCCACCTACGACCAGACTGTTCCGGCTTGGGTGACTACTGTTTCTGGCACAATGATAATCGGCGAAATCTTCGGAAGCAACAGTGACAGCCGATTTTGCACTTCAGGCGGCACAGTTTCCTCCGGCCAGAGGTACCTGTGTTTGCAGACAGCCCAGTACATTACGGAACAACGATTCGGCGCAGCGTTTAGACCCGCGATTTTCGGGGGTTCTACCGGCTACAATAAACGGAGTTGCGACTAATACGGGTCCGGCGAGAGAAACGGGTTCCGACTTTAGGAGGCGAGAAAACGACCTACAGCGACGACGTTTTGCTGAGGCCGAGTTTCGCGGCTAAGCGGCGGTAGCAGAAGGAGCTCCCTACCGGCCAAAGTCTACCGACGTTTCGCATACCTCACGCCCAGAAAAGCCTCGAAGGCAATTCGTAAGTCCTGTTGGCTACTGGATAAAAAGGTGAGGCCCTGTGTTTTAGCTCTGTGCTGGTTAGAAAGGCGTGGGTGGCGCTGGTTCGACAGCAGGGCGTACAAGAAAACATTTTGTGGTGCGACACTATTTCGGCCCCGACAAAAACGGACCATCGGCAATAGTACTCCGCCGAAAATGTCGGAGTTGAGGAAGTTGTGGCAGCTGGCGGTGTTTCTCCGAATTCAACGGTCTACCCGACGACGGTGTAGCAGCGAAGATGGAGTTCCCGAAGCTGCGGAGTTTTAAATGCGATAGGCACGGTGGGCAGCGAAGCGGCCGGCTAAGAGTTTGATATGATAAACTCGCTCCGACTACGATTGCGTTCGCGCCTTCATCGAACGCCAGAAAAATCGCGGGTCAACACGAAGAATGTCTCATCCGACAAAAGCGGACGCTGGGTGAACGGCGGCATGCGAAATTGTCGGGAGGCGAAAGCTAAAAAAGGAGGGAAAGTTGTGGGTGCCGTTTCAAGCTACTTGAGTGATAGGCGGAGCCCGTACACCACTCCACCGCGAATTTCGGAGTCTATTCGGTAGACCCCCAAAAGGGTTTGATATCGTTACATGGAGGCGCGGCGAGGGGTGTATTGCCAAGGATGCATGGGATATGCTAAGTAATTTTCGACGGGTACGAAGATGGGTGAACGTCGGAGTACCAGGGTCAACGGTGGAAACGTCGGGGCTACAAGGCAGAAAATACTTCGGGGCTTGATTCCTCAACCACGATTTTCGGGTGCATTTTCGACGGTGGGAGACGGGTGAACGTCTGCTCGCCAGCTGTTTAAGCGTTTTTCGGTGTACTTCGAAGCAGTCTGGGGGAGTTCTGCTGCGAGATCTGCGGCGTCGATGCGCGCTAGGGTCCGTGAAAATCGGTCTCTGAAGACCCATAAGTACTGGGTTCCACGCCAAAAAAGCACCCCCTGTTGGTGGGTAGCTTGGGTGGTTAACCGCACGAAAATAATGGTGACCGGGTGGGCGTGCTAGAAACACCGGTTCTTTCGGGGGGCAACCTGCAGGCGACCAAGATATTACGTGGTGTGGTTATTTCCGACATTTGCGGGTGGACCCAGCAGTTCCGAGAATGAGTCTTAACGGAGTCAGCGGGGTCGCTGACAGTATCCGTGCCGGCGGCGGAGTTGCAGCGGTGCTTTATTAAGCGCGCGAAGGCACTCGTCGTCAAATGTGTAGCCCTACAATTCGGAAGCTGCTCGGGGATACCAGCGACAACACGAGGGAGAATTTTGCAACAAGTGGGGGGAGAAGGCGACATCTGTTTTCGCCCCTGCCCGGAGGTTTTCGGCGAGTCACGACAACGTCGCCGAGGTAGCTGACGTCATCAGAAGTTCAAGTAAATATTTCGGGGTTCAGGGGGAAGAGCAGCAACTGTTTTTCGCCTCTGCCCGGTACTTCTCGGAGAAAAGCGACAAATCTCTCGGCGAGTCTGGACAATACTGCCAGGGGTACTGACAACTGGAGATGCTGCAGCAATCGAGGACTTCGATTCTGCCACAGCAACGAGACGAGGGACCGGATTTTGGACTGCAAATTCTGCCAGCTGCAGTGGTCAAGAAGCACTCGCGACAACAAGAACATTTTCAATCGCATGAAATTCTACGACGGGCTTCAGCGGCGTTTACCCAGGGTATTTTGCGGAGTTTTCAGCAGTGGATAATTCGCCACCGGCTACAATTTCGACAGTGAAGCTGCTAAAACTCAGACGGGAGGTCATAACACTGGGTATTCTACTCTACCCTCGGCCAACAGGGTGGTTGGAGTTTTCGGAAAATCTCAGCCAAAATGGGTCGTCAAGCCTGACGACCTGTTGACGACTTGACGACATGCTGCCCCGGGCAGAAAAAAACTAAAACCCTATCGGATGGCATGTCATCCTAGGGAGGCATCAACCCTAAATCCATGCCTCCCCGTGTTTAGGGTTGATGCCTCCCTGACCGGATGCATGCCCTTCTGGGGTTTATTTTTTTTGCCCGCGGGCAGCGAGCTCCCCCGGGCGGACTCGCTTGTCCGCTGAGATATACTCTTCGTTCCTGCGCAGCTGTGCACATTTTGGTGGGCAGTTTATCTTGGGGGGGGGGGAGAAAAGTGCCATCGCACTGTTTTCGCTCAACAGTTTTCTGACAGTCTCGTCTGACACCTTCAACACGACCGACGCTCAAGATTGCTTCCACGACATCAGCAACTCCCGACTCACTGACATTCTGACACTGTGTCAGAATCACGCCAGCCTCACTACCGTTCGATCGCAATCTTTGTCATCAACGACTCACGTTCCTTCTCGAATTCAACTCACATTTTCGATCTCAACCGCCCGATCGGCATCGGCAGTATCAACGGCTGACATTCCAACTCTTTGAAATTCGCCTGGTCAACACACTCAGCCACGCGTCAACTCTGAAGTCAACATGCTTCTGCACCGTCAGATCAGTCTCGACCGAGATCTTCAGTTTTCACCCTACTGCAAGACTCGACTACAGATAAGGGGACCTTATCTAGAAGGTGGGAGAGTCTAAGGAATTCGCCAATTCCTTACTGTAGCCTTGCCTTAAACGGGTACAGCCCGAGCACTTCGCGTCAGGTGGCTCGGCCTACATTTCCGCACCGAACCAATGCCGATTCGCCCCGCACCAATCGCGACACATCCAACCCATCCACGTCCCGAGGTCCTCGCCTAGCACGGTTTCGACCCTATAAATGCGTGCTCATTTATCATTCTTGAGCATTCTGTAATTCATTCTCTTTATAGAAGTCTTCCGCGCACTCTGTCTAGTAAAACTCATAACACGTGGCTTTGACGTGGAGTTACCATTACCATGTCCCAGAATTGTGCTAACCACGATAAGTTCTGTAGAAATTATAACATATTTATGTGTTGGAACTTTGGCTTGATCTAGAGCATTGCTTGCGAACATCACCGAAGTCTTGGAGCTTAGTGAAAAATAGTGTGGATGGTCACCTCGTCCAAATCTTGTGATATGCCCGTTACGGAAGGTCTCTTGAGCTTGTCGGTGGTGATTGGACGGCGGATATCGCTCTTCTCTTGACTTCAACGATTTGTCACGGAGAGCGCTTCGGCTTCCCTACTTCACGGTGCGACAATGTGCCTGGATGCGGAAATTGGCGACTCGACTTCCCAGTACTTCTCCAAGCCCCTTCATGCACACTTCACGTCCACAACACAGCCCCGAGAATAATGACAGAACATTGGGAACGATTGAAAACGGCGGAGAGCGGCATAAGTTTAGCCTCGTCCAAGCAGCAAACGAGCAGCCAACATGACCTCTTCTCAGCTCACCCGCTTTTGGCCGTCCACCTCGGCACCTGTACACAAGCCTGCAACCAGGTCCTGCAATCAGTCCTTCTCTGCTTGCCGCTACGTGTTTTGTCGATATCACTCGTCCCAGGCGCCTTAGACCAGTATTTTACCACTCTCAGCCTCTGCCCACGCCGCAGACCTTTCATACACCAGGTAGGATTGTCTCGCTTAGGAGGACTTAGCAGAGCGTTGAGTTACAATACTTCCGGGAGCAACAGGGTCACAAAGTAGCACTCACTACAGGGAGGCAATCCGAACCTGTTGAGTCATTAGCAGTGCTAACGTTACGACGTTGCCGCCGTTCTCCCCGACTTACTTCCTCGCAACGAGTAATGGCGACGGTCCGTTCCGATTCAGCTAGTTACGCTGTTTCCTTCGCTCCTCGCCGCCGACGTTTCTCCCTTAGTCGTCCCCGCCGGCGTCTCGCGTTCGCCATGTCAGCAGCGCGCTCTTTCCTCGTCAGCGCAGCTTACCTGCTGACTGCGATGGTTGCTGCTTCAATCATAGCCGTACGATCCGCCGCATCACACTTACACTCGCCAATAAAAACCAGGCCGCCGTGGGACCTGCTCTTCAACGAAAGCCTATCAACGTGGGATGGCTGGAGCCCCTCTGGGGCGGGGCGGGGCCTCTCGGAATCGCGGCGAGTGTTGCGGCGGACGCCAGCATGCCAGACGTCGACGATGGCGGGCTACTCCAACATGGTCGACCTGTCGGGTAACGGGTACGGATCGTAACGGATACAGGTCGTGAGAGGGAGAGGGGGGCTCGGAAGGTTGTCGTCCCGCCTCCGCTTCCCTTTCGCCTTCCTCGTCCGCCTTGCGGCTTCCGCTCGCGAAGGGGGGGATCGAGGGTGCCAGTGGCCACGTGAAGCCTTCATCGCGTGCAGCATCATGCTCGTAGACCATTCGGAAAACGCATGTCGCACGTCGCAAAACGCATGTCGCACGTCGCAAAACGCACGTCGCACGTCGCAAAACGCATGTCGCATGTAGCAAAACGCATGTCGCACTTTGCAAAACGCATGTCGCATGCAGCAAAACGGATGTAGCCTGTCGCAAAACGCATGTCGCACGTCGCAAATGCATGTCGCATGTCGCAAAACGCATGTCGCATGTCGCAAAACGCGTGTCGCATGTCACGAAACGCTTGTCGTCGCCTGTGGCACTTTTCATGTGTCCGTAGCAAGACGCATCATGTTGCATGTCGCATGTCCGGTGGCAGCACTCGCTTATGCAACTTCAGGCCTCTGTGTCCAGAGACACACTCTATGCCACCTGCGCCTACCAATCCTAACCGTCGCCTCGTTCCGCCGCCTTCCACCCCCCTGCGTCATGCTGCACTGCACCCCCTCGTCACCCGGTTCCAATCAGGCTTCCTTCACTTCGTCCCTGCTTCCGGCCTTCCTCTTTCCAACCATCCCCCCCCCCACGTCCCCCTCCCTCCCCTTCCCCTACTCCCCTGTTTCTCAGCATGCCGCGCGAAACCCCCAGCTACGTGCTGCATTGGGCCACCACGCCACGAGACGCCCCCAAGATCGCATCGGGCAGAGGAGCTCTCTTGTATCCCCGATTCCCCGAATCGCTGATCCCAGATTCCTCGAATCGCTGATCCCCTGACGGCCCACTCGCTTCATTCATCCCGCAATCTTCCACCCCCTCTTCCCTAACCCACAGCTACATGCTGAGTAGGACCGCCACGTCACGCGACTTGTTCCCCTCGTCAGCTCAAGCTCGCAGTGGAGGCGCGGAACTCTCTTGTTCGCGTCAAGCGCTCATGACCACATCCCCTCAAGCCCTTGCTTGACCAGCACGTCAAAGGACTCACGCGGGCCAATATTGAGCAGACAAGGCCCCCTCGTATCCCTTATTTCTTTATCCCCTCGTTCTCCACTCCTTCTTCCCTCCCACACCCACAGCTACATGCTGCATTGGACCATCACGTCACGCGACGCCCTCAAGCTGGCCGTGGAAGAGCGGAGCAGCACGGGCGCGGGTGGCGGCGGGTGGCTCATGCTGGCGTGGGCGCGCAAGGGGCAGCCCTTCCCCAGCGACGCCATCTTCGGGAATCTCTTTGGGCGGCGTACCGTGGCAGCATTCACCATCAGCGGGCCAGGGGCGGCAGGGGCACAACCGGCGTCGTTCACCCTGGGGCGGACGGCATTTGGCACAACCTTCAATGGCGCCATCATGAAGTGAGTGGTCGGGTTACCAGGTTACAGGTGTCTCGTCCGTTCACCCCAGGGCGAACGGCCTTCTGCAGCGAGTGTTAAGGTTACCAGGTTACCAGGTGTCTCGCCCATTTACCCTGGGGCAAACAGCCTTCCACACGACTTTCAATGGCGCTGTTATGAAGTGAGTGGTGGGGGTACTGGGTGGTGGGGTTACCAGGTGTCTCGCCTATTTACCCTGGGGCGGACAGCCTTCCGCACGACCTTTAGTGGCGCTGTCATGAAGTGAGTGTCGGGTTACCAGGTGGTAGGGGGGGTTACCGGGTAATGAGGTTACCAGCCGGTGGGGTTACCAGGTGATGTGGTTACCAGGTGATGGGGTTACCAGGTTACCAGGTGCCTATCACCATTCACCCTGGGGCGGACAGCATTCCACACCACGTTCAGTGGCGCTGTTATGAAGTGAGCGTGTGGGGTACTGGTTGGTTTGGTTACTGGTTACCAGGTTACCAGGTTTCTCCATCGGCCAGCCCACAGTAGCCCGCCTTCTCCCTTCTCGTCCTCCGCTCTTCCACTCCCCTTCCCTCTCTCACCCTCGTCCAATGTCTCGCTCCCCTCATCCCCCCTCCCCCTAATCAGGTTCTCATGCTAGAGAGCCGATGGGGCAGTGCCGGTGAGCTAATACGGCCGCCTGGTGTGAACCTTAACCACTAGCACCACTGCCAACCCCCCTCATTTCACTCAATCCACTCCTTTCTCACTCAATCCACCCCTCTCTCCACTCATCCCCTACCCTCTCCACTCCCCTTCCTTTCCCCCCCAAGCCAGGTTCTCTCGGCAGAGATCAGACGGGGCGGTGCCAGTGAGCTACTACGGCAGGAACCGCCTGCTGTGGGCCTTCACCACCGACTCCTCCGCCAACCCCACCCTCCCGCCCTTCTACCGGTCAGCCTCGCCTCCCTCGCCTCGCCTCCCTCATATGACCGCCACCTTTTTTTGCGTCACTGCCCGTCTTGCAGCGCTCCACCCTGCCCGTCTCGCAGCGCTCCACCCTGCCGCCCTTCCACTGGTCAGCCTCTCCCCTTGACAGTCTGCCACAGCCACAGAAGCTCAGAATTGCTTCCACTGCTCTGCCTTCTCCCCGTGCCCCCTCTCCCTGCACTCTGATCCCCGCAGGGGCATCTCAGTCGTTGATTTCTCCTGCACCGCCGATGGCAATGGTAATAGTGATGGTGACAGCAATGGCAATGGCGGTGGTGATGGCGATACCTCCTACGACCCCTCCCCTCCTCCACCCACCCGCACCCCCTCCCCCCCGCCCTCCTCTAACTGCCTTGGCTCCCGCAAAACGTCTTGTTCGGCTTCCAGCCTCCCTGGCTACACGTCCGTGGTTACCCTGGGCAAGGGGTGAGTTACCTTGGGCAAGGGGTGAGTTAACCTGGACAAGGAGTGAGTTACCTTGGGCAAGGGGTGAGTTACCTTGGGCAAGGGGTGAGTTACCTTGGGCAAGGGGTGAGTTACCTTGGGCAAGGGGTGAGTTACCTTGGGCAAGGGGTGAGTTACCCTGGACAAGGAGTGAGTTACCCTGGGCAAGGGGTGAGTTACACTGGGTAAAGGGCGAGTTACCCTGGAAAGGGTTGAGTTATTCTGAAAAGAATGAGTTACCCTGGGCAAGGTTCGAAGAGACAAAGGGCAAGAGGAAGGGACAAGGGGCAACGCATTGTTGACATTGCGGACATTCACCTTGGAGAGAGTGGTGCATTGTTGAGCCATCTCAGCCTTCTTCCTCCCTCCCTTCTTCTTCCCTCGGTCTCCCTTCCTCCTACTCTCACTTTGTGTCTCTTTTTTTGAATCGCAGCCCATTCAAGCACCTGTTTTCCCGTACTCTTTCCCCGCTTGCTCCGTGAGCTCTCACAGGAAAATCCAGCCTGCATCATCCATGCCCTGAGTCTCCCGTCCATCACGTGGCTCACATGAGAGTCAGCTGCAAGCTATGCCACGCTGGGTCGTACACCTGCAAAGCCAAGCCTACCCACCTTCATCTCCCATCCTCCCATCCTCCCAACCGCCCCCGCCCAACCGCCCTGGCCCCCCCAGGCTCATGCTGCACTCCACTGGAAGCTACTCACCACCACCAGCGCCGCCTTCTGCCTGCAGGCCAAGCCAGGCACGGCAGCAGCAGCCTCTTGCAAGCTCCGCCGTCTCTCATCCTCCCCTCCTCTTCCCCTCCCCCCACCCACCCCGCCCTGGCCCCCCCAGGCTCATGCTGCACTGGAAGCTTCTCACCACAACGAGCGCCGCCTTCTGCCTGCAGGCTAAGTCGGGCACGGCAGCAGCGGCAGGGGGGTGGGTGTCAGTGGCATGGTCAAGGGGCGGCGCCATGGTCCCTGCTGACGCTGTCATTGGCGCCCCTGGGGGCGCCGCCAAGACATATGCCATTACGAGCTACAGCTCCGTGGATCCCACCTCTCGGTTCGGCATCACGGGAGGATCTGTGAACTCGGGCTTTAACGGCGTGCTGCTCAAGTAAGTGGTTCGTTGGGGGCCCTTGGGGGTGCCTTGGCGGCTCGCGTATGGGTGCCATCAAGACGTATGCCATTTCCAGCTACAGCTCCGTGGATCCCACCTCTCGCTTTGCCATCACTGCAGGCTCGGTGAATTCAGGCTTCAACGCCGTGCTGTTTAAGTAAGTGTGTTGAGGTGTTGGACGCAGCATGTATATAAGAGAATAGACACGGATATGCAGCAACGTTGCAGGAAGCTGGCAGGCAGGACCCGTGCCTCGCCACGGGACACACGGCCATGTTTCATCCTTATGGACGTACGCACGGCATTGACGGGAGGTCAAGCAATTCGGTCGAGTCTTTTGGGCCACTTCATTCATCTGAGGGTATTTGGAGACTCACCGAGACGCCCTGTGGAGTGAACAGCTACGGTTGGCTGTTAGTTGAACGAGAGTAGGCTCCATGCCCCTTCACAAGGCTGGCCCCTCTCATTGTCTCCATGTGGATGTGGGGTCCATGGTGAGACAAGTCTCTAGCAACCCCTGCCCTCCACCAGCCTCGTTGCTGTCGTATCCCACATGAATCCAACATCTGTGCTTACATAAGCACGCAAGACATTGGGTCAGCTTAAGCTACACCAGTTCTTACCCAACTCAACTTCGTCAGGTCCGCCACAAAAGGATCAGCAGGAATTGCCGTTGCATCATCTGAGTTCTCCCTACCTCTCCCTACCTCTCCCTACCTCCCCCTACCTCTCCCTACCTCCCCCTACCTCTCCCTACCTCTCCCTACCTCTCCCTACCTCCCCCTACCTCTCCCTACCTCTCACTACCTCTCCGTGCCTCTCCTGCATCCACCTGCCAGTCCCCCTCAGTGCGCTCTCGACTCTCCTTGTTCTGGCTGGTTTGGCAGGTTCACAGGAAGCGGGTGAGCAGGAGAGGCTGCGATGGCATATCCCAACCCAGCTCCACAAGTGCGGTATCTGGGCGAACCCGACAACCATTACCGCACGTGCCCTCTCCTCAGCCATGGCAGGCTCACCAGGAGCGAGCGGGTCAGCACGAGTGATCCCGGTGACCTACCTCGATCCAACCGGAGATGATTTTGTGTTCACTCAAGAACACTTCTCTGTCCCTATGCACTGGCAGGTTCACCAGAAGCGGGTCAGCAGGAATAGCCCCCGTGACCTACCTCGGATCCAACCGCCTCATCTGGGCCTTCTCTGCCTCCGGCAACGCTGCTATCGGCTCTCACGGCTCCAATAAGTATGGCCATGGGGTGGTAAGGGGAGAGGGGAGGTGTGGGGGGTGGTCATATGGGAAAGGGAGGGGATATAGAGAGAGGAAAGGAGAAAGGGGGGGGCGGGGGGGGGGGGGGGGGGGGGGGATGGAAAGGGGAGGCAAAGTGTAGGGTTGCAAGATTCAAAACGTTTGAGCCTTCTGCATTTGCTTTTGCAGTTATTGTTTGGTAATTGGTTGGGTAAGCTCCTGACATTTGCTTATGCGGTGATCTCTCCCCTCTTCCAATTGCAGGGGATCCAAGACTGTTGATCTGTCCTGTAACGCAATGTGCACATAAGCAGATTAATAATAAACGTATATATGTAGATATATCAAAACAAGCGTTGCTCTAACAATGGTGGAAGCAAAATAGACAAGTTCTACAGAATTTGTGAAATAACCATCGCAAGAGTCTCAGCTGGTAAATGGCGCAGCTCTGATTGTGCGAAGCGGAGCGTGAGATCGCGTTCACAGCAAGTTCCCCCAAAGCGAACCGCCCCAAACAACAGTGCACAGATATTTGTGAAGCACGTGTTTGGGGTTGCTTCACGAAAATTTGTTCTAAACGATCTTGAAGTTGCTGGGGTTACATGCACGTGATTGGGTTTGCTACTTCGCTCAAACTCGTCTACCTATGTATCCACATTCGCATGGCACGTGGAGTGGGTGTGGTCGGTTGCAAAACTGCCACGCTGGACCGAATATTCGCCCTGCGCGGTTCGCTTTGGGGCGGTTCGCTTTGGGGGAACTTGCTGTGAACGCGATCTGACACACACACTACCATTGTGGGCCAGCCCAGTGATGCGGTCCTGTCAGTGACCCAGCAGGCAACCCTAAAAGCTCATGGCTGATCAAACCCTAGCTCAAATCGCTGACCTCCTTTCGACCATTTCTTTGCATACAGATATAGATTTCAAAGCGGGCTCCGCATGCCTGATGATTTCTTGCCGCTGTGCTCTGTAAGGGTTCAGTATTCCGTAATCAGACGGGTCCCACCGACGTCTTGCGTAGGGGGATTGTACGATAGCTACGTGAGAGGGGGAATGGGGATCGCTTGTAATCATAGAAATCTAGAGCGTTTCGCAACGTAGTCCCCTCCGTTCCGCCTTCTCTGCCACCCCAGAAGCGCATCCGCCACTCACCGACCCATCTCCTCCTCCGCGCGCTGTTGCATTGCGTGCATGCGCGAATGACCCCCCAGCGCCTGTCCTGACGAGAACCGACGGTCGCACACCGTACAGCGAAACCGTCGCCGCGGTGATACAGCTTTCCTCACCCCGTCGCCCAAATCCGCTAAGAGCGCCCCACCCGTCGCACTTGTCGATCCGTCCCCCATAGCACTAGCAACACCGCCCTCATTCCCTGCTTTCCGCCGCGTGGGACTGGACCCCAGCGGCACTGCTTCCCCTGCAGCCGTCCGCGCAGCGACCCTGCGGACGTTTTCCACCACAAGGGGAACGTCCGCTGGCGGGTCGAGCCTGGCACTCGCGGGGTTTAGGGTCAGTCCCCCTTGCGCGACGACGCTCGTTGCACCGTGCGGGTGGCGTGGTAGTGCTACCTCCGCAGACGCCCAGACCCCCGGCGGCCCTGCAGCCGCAGCGCGCGGTTCCGCGGCGTTGGCGGCGTGCAGAGCAAGCAGGGCTTGAAGCGCGGCAGGGGTATAGGGCCATCCGCCGAACGTAAAGCCACTGCTTCCTGCTGCTGCATTGGCTGCTCCTTCGCTAGATTCTGGGGTTAACGGCGGCGGGTCCTCCTGGAGCGCTTGCACGACCAAGCGGAGCCGCTCGGCGGGCGGGGATTTCTCCGCTGCGCCGCGACGGACTGCGTCGTCGAGCGCTCCGCCGCTCCAGCCGCGGCCCGTAAAGTCTTCGCGGAATTCCGTCGCTGAGCGCGACGCGGCCTCTTGAAACGTCTCGCGTGTATGATTAGGTCTTGAGGTGTCTGTCGCGCTTCGCAACGTCGCATCGTCGTCCCGTATGTGTGTCTCAAGCAGGCGTCGCGCAAAGGCCAAATCCGCAGGGTTTGTTTCCGCCGATGTGCGATTCGCTGCGGCGACGCCCCACGGATGCGAAGACATCCCATCGGCAATTCCAAGGTTTGCCGATGCGCTGGCAGAAGCGAGTGTAGCGGCCGGCTGCGCCGCTGCCGATTCCGTGGCTAGTGTGTAGTAGGCCGCATTGTGTTGCGAGCGAATTCGAGCGGTGGGGAAGGAGTTCGAAGTGAGGAGCTGAGAGGCATTCGTGGCGTCGTCATAAGCGCGGTCGTCGATTGACATGCCGCCAGCAGGCGTTGATATTCTTGCAGAGGCGCTGCGCCCCAAAGCAGGGTTTGACGAAATGGCGGTCTCGTGGGGGGAATATGATGCTGCTCTGCCAGCGCGCCGTTGTTCCAGACTGTCGAGGGGTCCTGTCTGTTCCGCCGTGCCGCACGGATTTTGGAAATCGCGGCTTGCGGGCGGCGAAATCGAAATGTTGCATCCGAAGAGCATGACGCCAGCGCTTCCGCCGCTGTTTCCGTCTTCCCGCGCCCCTTGAGGTTCTTGCGCGACCCATTGCGCGTTTGGCGCCTCTTGCGCCGCGTCCTGCGCCGCAACTTGCGCGTGCGCCAATGTGGAAAGGAACCGAACCTCGTCGGGCGGCTGCTGGTGAGTGCTCCAGTCTCCGCGTTCGAATCCGCGCAGGGCGATTTCATTCTCAAACTGAAAGTACCTCCGACTCGGGCTCGATTGGTCGTCGCGAGGATGCGTCGGTCCCCATCGCGGCTCCTTGTGCCGCACCAGCCGGTTTTCTTCTAACATCATCGTGTCAGCCTGCGTCCCAGCTTCCATTTCGGGGACCTTCCTCTTAGGAGGACTCGACATTGGAGCTTCCGGCGGAGATGGTGCGTCCATTGTCGCCGAGTCCTCGTTTTGAGACCAGGTCTCGCGGCGTCGAATCTGCCGCCACTGTTTCAGCTGCTGCAAGAGCTCTCGAATGCTGGGCTCTGTAGGAGGCGAGTTTTCGCTTCGCGGTTGTTGCACTGCGCTCGCTGAGAGTGCTGCGGGCGCAGCTGCTGGGATGTCCGTCTCGGGTTGCAAGTCATTGAGAGAGTGAGGTCGCATTATGAAATCCGTCGGAAAACTGTTTGAGGTGTAAAGCAGGTCCTTCTCAGATGACTCGGTGAGATGCAAATTATGAAAACTACGATACAGTGCGTGTGTGATTTATGGGCCCAAGAATCGGTTGGGGTTGGCTGTTCGTTGAAACAGTACTCAGTGACGACGGATGGAAGGTGGAGGAGTCAACCCGACCGAGACGAATACGTGTATTCCTGAAAAGGTTTTATGGGTGCCTCACTGCAAAAAAAGAACAATGTAACCTACCTTCGGGTTTTAGGCCTGGGACGACCCCGGCTTGTCTATTTCCAAGCTGATTGATGCTTGCTTTGACGAATACGTGTATTCCTGAAAAGGTTTTATGGGTGCCTCACTGCAAAAAAAGAACAATGTAACCTCCCTACGGGTTTTAGGCCTGGGACGACCCCGGCTTGTCTATTTCCAAGCTGATTGATGCTTGCTTTGGGGATCGAAGCTGGCAAAAATGCTCGGTCAACCTGCCTGAATGCTTTGGAACTAGCTCTCGACCTCGGCTGAGTTGCCACTACTGTGGCGGGGTGTTCGATTACCATGCCCTCAAAAGTTTCTTTACAAGGAATCAAACTTTTGAAACAAACAGAATTCCCAAATGTGGATTGAGTAGGCGACAGCA